TAGCTGTGTGACCCTGGGCAAATCACTTAACCCTGATTGCCTCACCAAAAAGTAAAAAAAAAAATTCTTATTGTTTTGAGTTGATCTCTCAATCCAGCTTTGTGACTAGTAAGCCATGCAAAAATCCAGTTAGGGACGCTAGCTTGTCTGATTCTACATTTTGAGTTAGCCCACTGCCCCTCCCCCACAGCCCCTCTTAAAAATCCTGGGAGGAGCCCACCTGTGCTCTGGAAAAATTTTAAAGCGATGGTAAGGAATGAACCCCTGAAAGGTCAAATAAACAGCCATGATATGGACTTAGCCAACTGGAACCTGGTGCCTTCCATGGTTTTTTCTTGTTTTCCCACCCTTTGTCTTGGCTAGGTTGGGGCCACCTGCCAAGCTGTGTTCTGAACTCCACTGAAGCCTGACGAACTCATTAAAGTTTCTCTTCCAAAGGGCCCAAGGGCCCTCATGTTTTCATATCTCCAGTCCTGAGTCACTAGAATTCTAAAATCATCCAGGACCCCATGAGAGGGGAGTGGCCAAGGTCAGGCAAAGGCATAAGGAGAACAAGGGAGACCAGAATCCAGCCTCCTGCAGAAATAGGATTTTCTCAGAAGGTTCAATTATGTTATCCCTCCATCTGCATTTTAGATGGATTTTATATTTAGGTGGCAAGCTCAAGAAAGTCCACTAGGGCTTGAGCAGCCACTCCCCAGGGATATGAGTACATTTGAAGAGCTGTGAAGATCTTTTTCTCAACCTTGTGTTAGATGGCAAGACTGAACCCTCATTTGTTCCCACTGGGCTAATTAAAAAAGACAGAGAGCTGAGCTGGAAAATGAGAAGCAAGTCCTAAAGTCTCTACTTTCTGCTCCTTTCTGATGTAAAAATAATAATTTCCAAGGTTTGTGAAAGGATGAGGGAGAGAGTGAAATAAAGATGATACCCATTTTACAGATGAAGGAAGCAAGGCTTGGTGAGATTCATAGAATTACAAATTTAGACCTGAAAGAGAGCTTAGAGACCATCTAATCCATCCCAGAGAAGTTAAGGGACTTGGTCAAGATTACACAGCAAATGAACGGTAACACCAAGTCTTTTACTCCAAAATCTGGTGTTTTCTCTGTTGCCTTACCATTGACTTCCTGGATAATAATTATTGGAGCCAGGACACAAAAGAACCCTCATCTTCTCTCTCCAGGCGCCTTAGGCTTAACTTGTATTTGCTTTGTTCGTGTTTTGCATGTCTAACATTTATAAAATATTCTAAGGTTTGCAAAGAGCACTACGTTAGACTGTGAGCTCCGTGAGGGCAAGGATGGTCTCAAGACTTAGCAGAGTGCCTGGCAGCATAGCAGGCACTTAATAAATCCTTATTGGCTGACCCAACTACATGTTTATCTCATTGATCTTCCTGACAACCCTGGAGAGGTCGTCATATCTTTTCCTCTTAGCTAATGTCTGAGCAAGGTTCTGGGGACACAGACCGACCCCGTCCTCATGGAGTCTACTTGGGGTGCCGTAGGGGAGAGGTACAGTATGCAGACACACTAGGACTCCAGAGTTCTCGAGCTGGAGGGGCTCTCTGAAGTCACCTTACTACCTGGGTGATGTTGGGCAAGTGATTTCCCGTCTCTCTGAGTCTCAGGTTTCCTCAAATGAAATCGCTTGCCAAGCACCACCCAGATAGTAAGTGTCAGATTAATATACAGTAATTTAAAGGGGTAGAGTGCTAATAACTAGATGGAAGGGGGAAGGGGTCAGGAAAGGCTTGGGTAGAAGAGGGCATAGCTGACTTGTGCTTTAAAGAAGGCAGGGGCTTCTCTGAGGCAGAGGACAAGGGGGCGTTGTGGGACACTGCCCAACATCAAGTATTTGACATTTCAGATGTGCATCTGACAAGGGGGTAGGGGTGAAGGAAAGGGGGTTGGATAGATCTGGGAACTGCCAGAGACAGAGACAGACAGCGACAGAGGAGCTCTTTTACATGTGCTGGTACCTCACCCTTTGGCACCCACTGAAGACTAGGGTTTAGAGAGATCTCCAGCTTTCACTGGAGGGGGATACAGCCACAGAACAGTCCAGAAAGACCTTCCAACAGCTTAGCCCCTCCCTTCCTTCCTCCCTCCCTTCCTCCCTCCTCAGCCAGTCTAAACAGCTACCTGCACATTGTGTCCTGAGGGAGGGAGGCCCTTATCTTCAGAAGTTCAGCCATACAGCCTACGGAGTCTTGACCAGAAGCATGACGCCCCTGCATCCCCCTCCCCTGACATCCAATCCCTTCCACCAACGCAGCTCCAGGCTAGGGGTGAGATCTGCGGCCAGCACAGTGGGGTCAGACAGCCTCTAGGCAGCTCCCCCAAATCTGCCACATTTTTTTCACTTTTTCCCCCAGTTAGTTTCTATAACCTGTTATTCAAGTTGTAAATCATTAGGTAAAGAAGCCGGGGAGGCCTGTCACACTTCCTTGGGTGGGGATGGAAGAGCTGGGGTTTGTCAGCCTGGACTCTGCTCCAGCTCAATGTTCACTGACTGCAGGCCAGGCCTGGCTGGGGAGCTGCTTGGAGGCTGGTGGGCGTGGCCAACTGGAAGGCACTCCACTTAGCCACGGAGAATAAGGTCCCTGCTCTCAAGGAGCTTCCGATTCAATCAGGAGATTCAGCCTGTGCACAGGTGCATCCCTCCCTCTGTGTAACACCTCCCCTAGAAGGGGTAAGATTGGCCTGGACCCACACAGACTTCTGGGATTGGGAGTTTTTTCTCTCATCTTTTAAGGTAAAGAAGTACCACATTTTGGGGGACTATGGGAGGACTAAAGGAAAACACGTCCTTGTCCTCCAGGACATCTCTCCCTCTCATGGGGCAGTATTGCTGAGGTCTATTCCTCCAGCAACTGATTGTGTCTTAAAGAGTTGGTTTGATGACACCTCTCTGGGCCTCAGTTTTCTCATCTGTAAAATGGGGCAAAACTACCTATTGTTCCTACTTCACAGGGTCATTACAAGGCCGAAATGAAATAAGTGCTTTGCAGACTTTATAGTGCTATATCTCTTTCTCCTTATATATATGTACATGTATATGTATATACACAAATATATACATATATGTATATGTATACACACATATATGCATATATATGTATAGGTGTGTGCTTGTATAGGTAGAGGGAGGGGAAAGGGAAAGGAACACACACCTCCCATGGTAGGTACCAGGCACTATGCTAAGCACTTGACAATTTTTATCTTATTTGATCCTCACAGCAACCCTGGGAGGTAGGTGCTATTACTATCCTCATTTTCTAGGTGAGGAAACTGAGGCAGGCAGAGGTTAAATGATTTGCCCAGAATCACACAACTCATATCTGAGGCCAGATTTTAACTCGGATTTTCCTGACTCCAGACCCAGTATTCTATCCACTGAGCCCCTTAGCTGTCTCTCAGGTAAACAGAGGTGAAGTGACTTAGCTAAGGTCACATAGCTAGTAGATATCTGAGGCAGGATTTGAACCAGATATTCCTGACTCCAAGTCCAGTGTGATACCCATTCTACTAAGTTCCCTTTCTTGTTTACATG